ACTTGCAAAATAATTTACTAGATTAGGTTCCATCTTAAACGGAAAATTATGAGCCAGAATTTTGAACGCCCATGCGAATGAATGAAACTTTCAAATTATCAAAATGTAAATCCCCAAAGATTAAGATATAATCGTGTCTTAAACACAAATTATGTTGGCGAGGCGATGGTGAGATAGAACCTGACAAAAACTGCCTGCTCTATATTTCATTTACAAATAGCTGTATGTTGCAAAACTGTCTTTAAAACGAATCTTTATCCTTTTTTTTATAATATTGTACGATTCCGTTTTTATTACAATTCCTGTGGAACCTTTGAGACAGGTCACGTCCCATCCATGAAAGGGAGACAGATGAAGACGGCATCTGGTAAACATGTCTTTGAGTGTGGTCGTAAGTTAAGGCCATGAGGTGCTCTGTATGACACTAAAAATATTGCATGTCAATAGATTTGTCTAGTCGTAAAAAAAAGTGAAACACTTCAACACACTTAAAATGAGGGAAGGCTTATTCAGCACAGTCTGTCATCGACGCGTTAATTGGTTTACCCGGCTTGGTTTATTTGGTAAAAGAACGCGACACGTTGCAGAGAGCTTTTTCCCGTCGGAGTCCTTAAGATGGAAATAAAAAGTAATCTTTTAAAAGACTTTTGCTTTCAACTCTTGAATCCCAATTGTTTACGTTATTTTTTTGAATTCATACATTCATGCCTGAATAAAGAAATAGAGAAAACTGAGACGTGAGAAAATTCGTACCACATAATTGCTTTTGAAATATCTGTCTGGGGGTAACTTATATCAAGGCGTGTTCTCGGGGGTGTGTCTTGAGGTGCGCGGGGAAATGGTGTGGCGTCATCAAATCGTACTATAACGAGCTTATAATTCTGTTTATAATTGGTCGAAAGAAGGAATAATTCGTTGACATAATTGACGTAATTGCTAAAAAAATAAATAAATACATAAAAGCTATGGATATAGATTGTTTCTGCTTTGATCCTGTTCCAAGGTATTATTGGTAACTAAATACTTAAGCTAAACCAATGAGGAGCAAAGAGGGATTTAACATTCTTTATCTTAAGCCTTGACATTATCTTTTTGTTTATCACAAAAGAACACTCCATACCACCTGGGATATCATTGTCTTTTTGGACTTTTGGATTTTCTTGTCTACTTTGTTTGGACCTGTTTGGTTCACCTCCACCGGCATAGCGTGTTATTTCTTCTAATCAACAGAGGACATTGGCTTTCTTGTTCAACGAATTGAGGTAAAGAAGTTAAGAAATCAAATGATCCAGCTCGTATTCAATTTTCTGTCATGTTAAGAGCTCTAAGGTGTCTTGGACTAAGCCCAAAAGGAGGTTACGTTTCCCCGACGAATTAGACGATGCTCGCTGCGAGCTTCAATTACTTCTGAGTGCGATAAGCGTTTCAATCATTTTTTTGTGGAAATGTTTCGTAATCCCATATATCCCCACTGATAAGGAGTTATTTAACGTTAAAGCGCCTAAGATCTTGTTGTTAATTCACCCGGCTTTTAAGCTGTTATACATTTCCTCGCAAATCAGCTACGAGAATTTAGTGTTAGATGAAGATGATATCTTCTACCTGATCAGTTTGAGTATTCTTATTACCTGTTTGCTGGATCATGTATGGATGGTATAGGGAGAAGTTAGATGTTAATCACTTCTGGAAGTTAAAGGGTTAAACAAGACTGATAAAAGCCATCATTCGCCGGATGGTAAGATGAACTCTTCACTAAATGCCGAAAGAGATTTTGTAATTTTTTTTTTTTTTAATTTTTTTAAATTTCTTTTTTTTTTTAATTGAGCCCCAACGCCATTTTCTGCGAGCAGCAAAACGTGTAACAGTGAGTTGCAGTTATCTTGTTAAAAACTATCGTTGTCATGGGAAACTTTCATCTTCAATAGCGTTGCAAAATTGCTTCTCAAAATGTTGAAAAAAATGTGTCCTGAATTGTACCCTCTCATGCAAATAAATTCACCAATTACCTTCCATGAATGTTTCCCGGAGAAGGGGAAAAGTAGGGAGGCGGGGAG